CAGATGTGAATCAATGGCAATATCAGTGACCACAAGACTCTTTAGACTTTGGTTTTTAGCCACAAATGCAGCGAACAATTCATGATTATAAACAAATCCACGAAAATTGAACTCAAATTTGTTGAGAATCTTCACCACAGACTCATTGCCAATGAAGACATCCGATAGCTTTTGTGCCTTTAGTTGAGACAATTTGGGGCAATACTTGAGATACGGTTTGCATTGAGAGATATTGCCTGAGATTCCGGTGATGACTGTCCTCAACATCTCAAACAGTGGTCTCATGTGATCATAAGAGGCATCCGTTTGCGTGAATTTGTAGTGAAATCGCTTCGGAAGCAGACAATTGTCGGCCAAACCCTGAATCGCTTCAAACAAATGGATCACATTCTTGTTGTCCGCAAACCCTCGACAGTGAATGGTCTCAATGTTGGCACACTTTCTCATAATTTGTATCAATTTATAGCTTTCACAGTACTCTCGGCCAAAAATGTTTGTTTCCATCATTTTCTCAATGAGTTTGTCATCAATAGTGATACTATAAAGGGTCTCATAAATCAATCGTTGCCACTGTTTGGACACACATTCACATCGATAGCGGTCTTCGAGTGGTAGATATGAGAGCAACACTTCCAGCAAATCATCACCGAATCGGTCCAAAGAGTCTTTTGTCTTCATTTGTGGCTATTTTTGAGTGAAAATGAAACAATAGAATGAAAAATGAAAATGTTTTAGTGTCTAATGAATTTAATCACTAATGAATGCATTATTTAATGTATGTCTGTAGTACATACATTAGTACATTAGTACATTAGTCTGTGGTCTGTACACCTATCTTGATCACTTTTTCCCACGCATTGTCATTACTATCGGGAAATCCATAATTGTTCGCATCTTTCAATTCATTGCTTCAACTGATGTCTAAAACAATGCCAACTCTGTAACCTTTACACTACTTTGTACCTTGGCACTATTACAGTAGTGCCAATTTGGTGACAAGTGTTAACACATACAACACTAGTTTTAATTGTATCATTATAAACTTGAGAGCTTTTTTCTATTACTAATTGAAAGATAAAAACTAGTGTTGTTAACCATGTATTAATTAGTCAGTGTTTCAACTTGTACTAGTTAACCATATTCGCGGAAATTGGCACTGGCACATACTACAGACTCGGCTAAATGATATGAAAAAGTAATTTTCATTCCTAAAAATGTTACCAACTTTTTAATATTATTTACAAAGTTATAGATATACGATACAATAAAATAAATTAATTTATAAAACTATTTATCTAAGAATAATTTAAGAATTATTATTAAAACACATTTATATTCATTTAAATGTACTTTTCTCGACGATAGTAGTAGATAGCATATGGTCATGAATTGTGGTATCAATTAATTCATTAATATATATCTAATTATGCTTAATCGTGCTCAATTATAATTTATAACTAATAAAAGGAAGTATATTTTTCAAGAATTATAAAAACAAACAACATTTTATGAATACCTCACAAATAATAATACTTCTTATCTACATTGTATCTAATTTGTATATAAATTATATAAGCAATTAATATAATAGCCAATAATACAAACGTAAAGTTTGCTAAAACCTTTATTTAATTAATAGTTTACATGTAATAATTACAATTACAATTAATTAATATACATGTTTATTGGGCATCAATGGGATAACTGGGTGTAGTGGCGATACCGCACACATTACCCACATTCCTGGCTATTTTCAAGTATCGCCAGGCTTTTGAATTTTGATCGGGGGGTCACCCCATTGGGCGCCCCACGAGTTCTTAATGATCCAGTAATCGTCACCACCATCTGATCCATAGCCCACAACATTCACCGCGTGATTCAGTCCTTCCTTATATAAATACAAACAATTCTTATATATTATATAACCCTGGTTATAATTAGTTGCAAACAAGTTTAAATGTATTAAATACATTATTAATCTTTTATAATTATATATGAATATTGACTCCATTTGTGATTAACATTTGAATTTCAATAATATTTATATTACTGTTAAATGTATTATTAATAAATGGCTTATTAATTTATAAACTTTATAATTATATTAAACTCAATAATAATATAAATTAATTAATTTTCGGCATAAATTCATAGGAAAGCAATGAATATTCAATACGTTATTATTGATTGAAAATCGCGCACAAAATGATCGCATGTTTTCGTGTCATATGTTTTGCTTGTGTTTTGAATGAATGACTAGTTTTGTGACCATTTGTTGTCTATTTAATTATCAGTTCATTACAAACAAGAGGTTCATTGGATCACAAGAATGGCTCACAAGAAGACAAAGACTGAGAGGAATGGGACCACAGATGAGGGCAAAGAGAGTGGACAACAGGTATTAGCCATACATTCAAACATTGACTCAATTAGTGATTAAACACTAATACCTTTGTTTCATTTCAATACCAATTATAGCCACAAATGTATGCTTCAGACTCTTTGGACCGATTCGGTGATGATTTGTGTCAACACTTAGTGTCTTATTTGCCATTTGAAGACCGATTCCGATGTGAATGTGTGTCCAAACAGTTCGCTCGATGTCTGTACGACACCATCGATGGCATCGCTATTAACCGCAAACTCATGAAGAAAATGAAGACAAAAAACATTTTTGGCGAAGAATTCATTGATTTCCAGAATTTATCACAAATTCTGCGAAAGTGTGGAAACATTGAGACCATTGACTGTCGAAATGTGGGATCAAATACAAGACTAGTGTCTGAAGCGATCGATGAATTGCTCGACAATTGTCGACATTTAAAGACAGTTCACTGCGATTTTGACACAATTGACGACAATTTGATGTCATATTTATGTCAACTCTTTGGCTCATTGTTTACACACATCGTCTGCTTCAAGACTTCTCTGAAACACTGTGTGTCTGTTTGCCATAAATTATCTCATTTAACGGTTCAGACATTGGATTCAGTGTTTGATGAGACGGATAACCATTCATTGGCTAAGAATTTAATGAAATTTGAGTTCACTTTCGACCCGCAGTTCACTAACGATATGTTTAACACATTTATAGCAAACAATAAGTCACTGAAAACACTGACAATCAATAGAATCGATCCTAACATTGAATCCCAAGAGACTGTCATTGGATTAATGAATGGTTTGTCACAATTACAAGAACTCAGAGAATTGGACATCATTTTCAGATGTAATTCCCAACCGATTGCGTACTCATTGTCTGAGCCTTTGGTCGAAATTGGCTTAAAGTGCAAGAAATTGAAGAGTTTTTGGCTCAGAATAAGCGCACAAACCTCACCATTCATTGCCGAGACATTCAATTCAATGCAATTTATGCCTCAATTAAAAAAGTTAAGTTTAAGACTTCTATTACCCGATGACCAGGAACTGGGTGTCGCTGATTGGGATTTACATGCATTTGATTCAATGAAATGTTGGCCCAAATTAACACACCTTTCACTCAATTTATGGCAAATTAATCGCAAATTGTTTCGAGAGATCGCCACAAATGTGCCAAATCTGCAAACACTGAGAATACGGGATTCAAATGGTGTGATAAACGCTATTTGTTTGGATCGCATCGCAAGTCTTCGTAAACTGCAATCACTTGTCATTCACTGCACTTCAGACATCAAACTTAAAGAATCGCATTTAAAATCATTTGCTATAAAGTGTCGTAAATTGAAGTCAATTCAAGTCTTTAATTATAAAAATGAAGACGAATTGCTTGAATACAATGACAAACAAATTCATGAAATGCGAAATGTTTAGTCATTAAGTGATTGAAATCTTCAAATTAGCATTTCATCTAATTATTTGAATAAATGTTAATTATTGTAAAGTTTAAAAAACTTTATTGCCAGTATGTCATACACTTTAAATATCTTACAGTAATACGAATCATTAAAATTGCCTGTATCACTTGTTTACCATGACACATATTATAATTTATTGGACACCAATAGGATAACTGGGTGTAGTGGCGATACCGCACACATTACCCGCATTTCTAGCTATTTTGAAGTACCCCCGATCACCCCATTGGGCGCCCCACGAGTTCTTAATGATCCAGTAATCGTCACCACCATCTGATCCATAGCCCACAGCAGTCACCGCGTGATTCAGTCCTTCCATATGATTGAAACAAACGGGGTTTCGATAGACACCTGACTTATAGAGTCGGAGCTTATTGTCCGAGGCATCCATTGCCACAGAGATGGGCCCCACTGTGGCTACCGCTCCCTTGAGGGCCAGTTCGTCGCCCGACTCCACGTTCACG